GATTGCTTGTCACGTGGTTTCCGTTGCGTGGATTCGCGACGCCATTGCTCGGAATGACGTCGAGGAGATGGGCCTTGTATTCTTGCATGCTCTCCCCTCGCCGGACGGACCAGCCGCGTCACCGCCGGACCCACGCATTTCTCACCTCTTGGACGAGTATAGAGACGTCTTCRAGGCTCCCACCGGAACGGTTCCGGATCGGTCCATACGTCACGGGATCACTCTCGAGGCTGGCGCCGTCCCTCCGCGTGGATGTATCTACCGCATGAGCGAAGAGGAACTCGAGGTGCTTCCCGCACAGCTCGATGACCTTCTCGACAAGGGCTGGATTCGCCCTAGTTGCACGCCATACGGTGCACCTGTTCTCTTCGTCCGGAAGAAGAACAAAGACCTACGGTTATGCATCGATTATCGAAAACTTAACGCACAAACCGTAAAGAACGCCAGCCCTCTCCCTCAGATTGATGATCTCCTTGAGCGGTTAGGCGGCGCGACGTACTTCTCAAAGTTGGACTTGAAGTCAGGTTACCACCAGATTGAAATCCAGCCTCAAGACCGGTACAAGACCGCGTTCAAGACGCGGTACGGGCATTTTGAGTGGGTTGTCATGCCTTTTGGCCTCACCAATGCCCCCGCAACTTTTCAAGCAGCGATGAGGACGGAGTTTCGTGACTTGCTCGATCGCAGCGTCCTCATTTACCTTGATGACATCTTGGTTTATAGTAGGACGTTGGACGAGCACATCGTACACCTTCGCGTTGTTCTGAATCGTTTGCGACTAGCCAAGTACAAAGCGAATCTCGACAAGTGCGAATTCGCCAAGCAAGAGCTTGAGTACTTGGGTCATTTCGTCACGCCGAAAGGCATTCGTCCCTTAGCGGACAAGATCCAAGCCATCGTGGATCGACCAGAACCCCATTGCACGACGGATGTACGCTCTTTCATGGGTTTGGCTGGATATTATCAGCGATTCGTCGAGTCATACTCGAAAGTGGCCGCTCCTTTGTCGAGACTTCAGTCCCCGAAGGTGCCCTTCGAGTTCGACGACGCAGCCCGTGGCGCGTTCACTACGTTGAAGGCAGCGATGCAAGCCGCACCTGCCCTCCGTATATATGACCCCACCCTACCCACCCAAGTGACTACGGACGCTTCGGGATACAGTATTGGTGCGGTGTTGGAACAGTGTCACGAGGACGGTTGGCATCCGGTTGAGTATTTCTCCCAAAAGGTGCCTCTCTTCAACACTCTCGACGACGCTAGGAAGAAAGAGCTACTCGCGTTCGTCACCGTTCTCAAACGGTGGCGCCACTTTCTTCTCGGTCGTCGACGTTTCAAATGGAATACGGACAACAATCCGTTGACCTTTTATAAAACGCAAGACACGGTCACCAGCACGATCGGTCGATGGATGTATTACATCGACCAGTTCGATTTTGACCCGTGCCACATTCCCGGTCCCGCCAATCGAGCTGTGGACGCCCTCTCACGACGACCCGACTTTTGTGCCATTGTGACCACGGCATTCGACCTCGATGACGATTTGCAGCCGCATTTCGTCAAAGGCTACAAGTCCGATCCGACTTACTCTATGCTTTACGCAGAGCTTTCATCGGATCACCCGCCGGCTAGCCACTATCGGATTTCCGATGGGTTCCTTCTCCTTCACACGAGAGGAAAGGACTTGTTAGTTGTGCCCCAAGATGGCATCTTACGGACTCGTCTTCTCGGCGAATTCCACGACGCACGACTTTCGGCACACCTTGGCGTGAACCGCACACTAGCA